ATTTTTGGTTTTTCTTAAAGAAGATTGGTTAAAAATAATTGGTATAACATAAATGATCAGACTGTATGGTCTTTTTGTCAAAGATAAAAAACTGAAAGACATGACTCCTGGTAATGATCTTTACGGTTTTCTACCAGTAGAAAACATTACCAAATTTAAAGAAAATGAATAGTTGAAGAAATCATTTAACATTAGTGTTCCTTAAAATGCTGTCCCTTTTATCTCCCTTTGAATTCATTAATTCTAGATCTGTCACATGATTTATAGGTACCAGCACTGACGGTGGTGGAAATTAGTCACACTGGGAACTCCTTCTGGACTCCTGTTAAGAGCTTGGATGCTATTAAATGTTCCCATTATGAAGAGACCTGAAGATTCAGAAGCACCATGGTCCCTGAAATTCTAGAACTGTGTAGTCTCTCCTCAAATTCATATTTTAGTCATTTTAAAAATAGGATATTGCTTATATTATATAAAACTTTTTCTTTTACCAATTACTAAATAGTGTAGATTATGAAATTCTGCATCTCTCAGAGGGAAGTATTCCAAATTTACTAAGCACACAGGAATCGAATCACTTAAATTATGCCTATTTCATATTCTGAGTGCATGCATTTGCAATTAGCAATGTCAGGCATTTTTCTTTCATTTAATTTCATCATCATCAAGTAGTATTTATTAAGCACAAACCCGGCTAATTAATTTTCTAGAAAATAACAGGTATTCTTAAATTCATTCTCTCTATTTAAGAGCTCTTAAATAATCTACCTGATACATGACATTTTTCCCCTTAGCAAAAATTGTCTTTGAATTTTACTTTTTACCTAATTATTTCAAGGTTTCCACAGGACACATTCTAGTCCCAAAGTCAGTATATTTAAAAAAAAAAAAAAAATCATTCAGAATTGGTAAAACAGACTCCCTGAGGTTTCTGTTCTTACTACAGCATGTTAGTATTCTACTTTAGTTTTTAAAACTACCACTATTCTAGTTATACATTTTTTTTTTCTAAAAATGATTCAGTTTTAAGGTTAAAAAAATAGAATTTCAAGACTGTGTGTGATTCTCCAGAGAAAAGGAAAAGCTAATGTTTATGTGGATTTTGGGAAAAGAGATAATTTTTTCGAAGTATTTTTTTTCTATCTGCAAGAAAGACAATTTTTTTTTTCATTTAACAGTGACAGTACTACATTCATTTTAAA